TCGACCATTGACCTCTCATCCCTACAAGGCCGGGACGGAGCACGCCAGGTTCTCACCGGACCAGGCTCGAATATCACCAAGCGCGAATCGCCGTTAGGTATTCGGCGAGGGCGCGCTGCATCCTGTCAAGGGTGTAGGGGGAGTCGAGAAAAATTGCGAAACCCCTCACCTCTTCGCCCGCCACGGGCCCATGACCCACTTTTCCAGGAGGACGTCGAAAGCCTTGGCTAGCTTGTCCGCCGCATTCCACACCTCAGAACCCTCCTTATTGTACCGCTTGCCGTTTCGCCACACCAATCTCACGTCGTTGGCGAAGCGCACCACGCTCTGCCCGTACCTGTGTAGCACGGATGTGTGTTTTGAAAGTGGCGTGTGCGTCAGATATCCATAACACGGCTCACGATCTGCAACTACTGCTGTGTGTACAACAACAACGGCGTAACACCCCAAACAACAAAAAAAGCAACAGCAGCAGCAGCAACAACAACAACAACAACAACAACAACAACAACAACAACAACAACAACAACAACAACAACAACAACAACAACACTCACTCGCTAGCCTCCAGGCGCCTGTCGATGGTGCGAAGGTCGCACGGGTCTTCCACGAACTTGTGGTAGTCCGTGAAAACGGTTGTGTCCACGGGCCTGCGGAATGCCATGCTCTCCGGTGCCGTCGCGAGATAGCGCACTAGGGCCCGGCACCTGTTTGCAGCGGATGCGCGAAATCGAGGCGGCAGCAGCAGCAGCAGCAGTTAGTGGACGTGCTAGAGTAACAGCAGTAGAAGCGACGTGGATTCGCGAAAACAACACCAGTAGCGGCAGTGAATGGATGTGCGATGCGAGGTTCCAGACAACGGGGCTCTCTAACTAGACGAAAAAAAGCCGCCGTGCATGTGCCAGCGAAAACAACAAAAACGAAAAAAAAACAAAACAGAACATGAACATTCAGCGTGGCCTGAAACGGCTATCGATGCCACGCAAGCAACTGCAAGCCAGCACAAGCCCCGGGTTCTTCGCACCTTCAACACCCCTTCGGCCAAGTGTCACCACCACCGCAGCACCACCGCAATCAAAGCATACCGTACATGACACAAGATAACACACCCCCTTGACCAATTTTCGAAGCTCGATTTCTCAACTGCAGGAACAGTCACAGCGCCGAAAACGGCGGCGTTGAAACCGTCACCTCGAGAGCTTTTCGAAAATGTATCGTCTCGTTTATGCATCCTCTTCGTCGTGGAGTAATCGAGCTTTGAAAATCGGTCCAGGGGGTGTGTTATCTTGTATCATATACGGTACATCAACAGCCAAAAAACGTCACCCTTCGCCACACCGCTCCTGCAAGAGAAAAATACGCCCCACCCCGTCTGCCGTAACGTGGGCTGGCGAAAACCCAGATATCGGCTTCCGTCCTGGCGATGCAAGGTCAATCGCCTAACAAATACGGCATGAGTCTACATGGCTACGCCCCGCCCCTGGTCTTGCGGGAGAACAATGGCTCCATCCTCTCGCGGTCAAATCACCTAACGCCCACGGCATGAGCCACCTTTGGCAAAGTAGGAAGGAACGATTGGCCATCGGTGATCGGTCCGGTGGGAACAACTCTCCGTCCTCTCGAGGACGCGCGGTCAATGGTCTAACCGCTAAGGTATGCAAAACACAAGAGTATCCCCC